AAATTGTCCAGAGTTTTGTTTCTATCCTGGTGTCTTCTTACATAAGGCTTTCTGCTTAATATCCATGACCTGGAACATTTCTGTAAAAAAAGGAAAAATAAATTTAATGATTTGTAACAAAAACCTGGTATGCAGAACCCAAATTACAATTACATGTATAATTATATATAATTATGACTATATATATATAGTGCTTCACAATATCTTATTGATAATCACATGTACATAAGTCATAATTTAGAAATGACTGCATTAAATTATACTAATACTGCATAATTATATCTGGTCTTCAACCAAGCTTACAGGGATGATAAATATTGATAATATTTACTTTCATGGTACAATGTAGTAGATAAGCTAGATATATATACATATACATGGAGAATACAGTCTTATCAAAATAACTTTTAATAACAGCTTATTCCACAATCCATATTTAAAAATATGACATGTATAATATGTTTTGCTAAATCTATGAGGAAGTAAGTCAGCCCACCAGTGTCCCATTTCCAAGTTTTTGCACCATAACATTTTTCTTCAAAATTTTAATTCATCTCTTGATAAATATATCACCAGAAATCAATCTTGGTGAATGCTACGTTCAGCACAGAGACTAAATATACTAAAAGAGACATTAGCAGCAGCTATTACACGTTCATTTTCACATGATAGATTTTAGTATATGGGGTTTTGTCACATTTGATATGACATTTATCAAATTATCTGTTGTTACTTTGCTATTGCCTGGTTATCATATTCATTTTCCACCCTTGTTATGATGACCTATGTCCTTATAAATTATTCTCTATGATTTGAAAAATCCAGGTTTGGCCTATTGCATTTTACTTTCTGTCCTTACTTCCGGTAATAATAAAAAAAAAACATGCATCTTTTAAAAATTTACTCTGATTTGTTCAGATAAGAATTTAATTTGACAAAAATATGTATACACTATACACAATACACTACAAATACAATAAGAAACAAAGTGATTTGTTTACGAATTTTGAAATCTTTCAATAAAATTTTGCTTTGATGATTTGAGTTGAAATGCAACCTGATAAGCAAAATTTCACTGCCTAAAATGGAGATTACAATTTAAATGAAGGAAAATTACCTGTAATGTATTAATGTATTAATGTGTTTCCTACCACTGCTTTTCCTAAACCTAGAAAGCTGCTCATGGCTCTTGTAAGTAACTGATCAGAGCCCCCCCCCCCCCCAACTGGTACACAGAGAAACGCACTGATGTCCTACGTGAAAAAAAAGTTTGGTCAGGGGTTTGCTGAGCGTATAATAAAAAAGTAAACAATCTGACAATCTGCACAAACGCCTTTGCACTGTATAATATGACACTTTATATTTACCTCATTGCATTGTGGCAATTCGTCTACTCCTGTCGGTTCGGTATTGGTCCTTGGGGTCATTGACAATGACTCAAGACATTTGTTTTCAGACGATCACTTGAAGCTTTTTACACTGCCATTTATTAATTATTTCTGAACAAAATCTCTGTCAACAGTCAAGACAGAATTGCTGTAATGCTTCGAATGAAACGTTCAACGTCGAGACCTTCAGCTGTTCAGTTGTCACCGTCAGTGTGATGGGTGACGGTCATAATTCTTTCATCGTACGAAATTACCTATTCCGTTCAAGTGATGATAAACTCTGATTATCGTTTGTTCTATTCAACATGTAGATAAGTAAGCAATAACAACGGAAAGCATATATTCTTTCACTTTCAGACTTCATCCTCAGCAGCTGTCATATCGCTGTCATCAGCTGCGATAGTAAACTTCCGGTGTAAACGACGTTCGTTCTTATTTACGAGAGTTCAAAATCACATTAAATACGATTATTTAAATATAAAAAATGGTCGGACTGGATAGTATTAATTTTGTTTGACGTTCTTAACTGTTGTTAATAATTTTCGATAACAGTTTTTAAATCCAAGCGTGGTGTCGCTAGGTTACCGTAAATCATACTGAAATTTAGCCAACATGCGCAGCTTCCTGCGCAGTGGCGCTAAATTTGAGAACGATGGACCCACCTTAAGTATATTTTCCTCTATATTTGTTCATCAAAATCAAACATTGCTTCCCATTTCCTTTTCCCAGTAAATGTTATGTTATTTTGACACAAACAGTTATAAAAATCTTTTACTCCCTTTTTGTGTTTGATTTTTTTCTTTCAAGTTGGTAGGTATGTATGGACGTTTTATAGATTCAGCAGAAATGTCTTCTTTAGAACAGTTATTTTTTATTGCGTGTATGACACCGTGATAAATAAGGAAGTTAGTACGAATATTACATTTTTCTATGAATTCTGGATAGCTGTAAAAAAATCCGTTGCTATTTTCTTTAACTACGTCATTTCATTTTCAATTTCAATACATTTTATTGTCAAAGGAAGAATGGATTGAGAGCATTATTATTATTATTCACAAAACATTCTGTTTTCTTGGAAAGCTTACTCCAACTTAATAGAACATCTTTCCAAACTAAGTTTTTACAAGCGTTTTGGCATTTGAAAATATAATCTGTACCACAATTTGCAAAAAAATCTGTATTTCCAAAAGTTTTAAAAATTGATTGCCATTTCCCTTTACTTGTAAACATCCGTCGAATCCATGTAAGCTTTAAAGAATTTTCAGGCCCCCTTCATTATAGTTCTTAATAATTACATCTCTTTTTATCCTGTTTCTTAATAAATGTATCATCAGGATTTGGCAAAGTAATAAAAAGATGATTAAACTGAGATATGAGGAGGGACTCAATTATATGAATTCTTCCTATAGGTGTCAAAATCATTCTTCTCCATATCTTAATTAATGACTTTAGTTTTACTAATTTTTTGTCGTAATTAAGTTTAGGAATTTGATGCAAATCCACATTAAATTCAATGCCTAAAACTTTGAATCTTGTAACTGCCCACTGTAGATCCCATTCTGGATAGTATGTGAGTCTACTATATTTTTTACTACCTATCCATATTACTTGTGTTTGCTTTTATTTACCATTAGTCCAGAATTTTTTTCAAAAGTCTTTAACTCTATAAAAGACTCGTTTAAAGAACTTTTAGAACCATCTAAAATGATTGATGTATCGTCTGCATATTGAGATATTAGTGTAGGGATATTTTCTATGTTAATTCCTTTAATATTATTATTGTTCCTTAACCTTATTGCTAATATTTCAACACATAAAATGAATATGTAATGGGCAATTGGATCGCCTTGACGACAACCTCTTTTTACACTAAAAAATGTTGATAGATTTCCACCCTGATTGATAGAAGAGATAGTATTCGCATGTAAGGTTTTAATCCATTTACGTGTATCAACTCCAAAATTGACAATATACATTGTTATATATATTTGAATGAAGTTGCCAGCACCGTCTCCAACCAAGCTATACAAGGTAAAATATACATTTCAATGGCAAAAATGTAATAAATCATTTGACCTCATTTCTGTTTAACACAATCATTCTTCATACATTATATTTTGTACGTATTATGTACTGATAAGCCCAGGAGTTTGACTACAATCTTGAAGGTCGCAAACAGTTTATGATAAGGTTACACATGCAATAAAAACCTGACCACATTTTGTAATCGAAATGTTATTGAAATACAACAAATTAAAGTTTGTTCTATGCATAGACATACATTGTCATTTCTTTTAGAGTTCATAAATACTTACAAGTCTGTTCTTGATCATCTTTCCTTACAGATACACACGATATGTTTTCGGGCCCGCACTGTTTTCATGGTATACGTACAGATATGTGTCTTGTTCAGATAGCTTTGTGTATAATACCATATATACCATATATATACGGCTCTGATCGTCGATATCCATTACTTCAACGAATTCGACTTATTTCTGGATCATTGAAACTTTACAATTCGTCTAAATTGAAAGCAAAGTAGGTATGGCAAAGGACATTTAGTTTCCATAATTTAAACCTATAGAAAAATAACCACATATGTATTTGCTCTGTTACAACAAACGCCAGCTAGTAACTAAGTAGGAACCTATACGCAGGTAAGAGTGGGTGTTTAAAAGGTGATTATAACTGCGGGTAGCGGAACGGTGGCTTGTATTGAGTACTACTACCGTCTCCACCCCAGTGTAATTGTTGAGAAGATTCGTAAACAGTCCTATTATAGAACGTTCATAAAACGTGTATCAGGTGTATTAACGCCCCTCGGTATAATACCTATTGACAGCACACATTATTATATATATTTGAATGAAGATGCCAGCACCGTCTCCAACCAAGCTATACAAGGTAAAATATATATTTCAATGGCAAAAATGTAATAAATCATTTGACCTCATTTCTGTTTAACACAATCATTCTCCATACATTATATTTTGTACGTATTATGTACTGATAAGCCCAGGAGTTTGACTACAATCTTGAAGGTCGCAAACAGTTTATGATAAGGTTACACATGCAATAAAAACCTGACCACATTTTGTAATCGAAATGTTATTGAAATACAACAAATTAAAGTTTGTTCTATGCATAGACATACATTGTCATTTCTTTTAGAGTTCATAAATACTTACAAGTCTGTTCTTGATCATCTTTCCTTACAGATACACACGATTTGTTTTCGGGCCCGCACTGTTTTCATGGTATTCGTACAGATATGTGTCTTGTTCAGATAGCTTTGTGTATAATACCATGTATACCATATATATACGGCTCTGATCGTCGATATCCATCACTTCAACAAATTCAACTTATTTCTGGATCATTGAAATTTTAAGAGTGGTAAGAGGTAAGAGTGGGTGTTTAAAAGGTCAATAACTGCGGGTAGCGGAACGGTGGCTTGTATTGAGTACTACTACCGTCTCCAACCCAGTGTAATTGTTGAGAAGGTTCGTAAACAGTCCTACTATAGAACGTTCATAAAACGTTTATCAGCTGTATTAACACCCCTCGGTGTAATACCTATTGACAATACACATTGTTATATATATTTGAATGAAGTTGCCAGCACCGTCCCCAACCAAGCCTAATTGCAAGTAGATCCGTTATTGACCCTATACTTTTTAGGTTGAATGAGTCTTTACCGTTGTATTTTCGTGACCTTTGACCTGATGTCAATTTTCCTCCCCAGCTCGAAAAACACCTGAATGATTTAATTCCAACCAAACATGACCATTTTATGCCTGTTTTGTATGGAAACTACCGAAAAATGCTCTATTTAATAATGTGTATATATTCCTTTATTATCTGTAAGTATATTATAATCGTCAAAAGATCCAATAAGACGACAACGATGATCTGGTTTTAGCTTATATATAAACAAGTTTACTCTGTAGCAGAAATGATTCTCTTCTTTTCAACCTCCGCAACTACTGTCCTCGTTGGCTTAGTAAAGTTTCGCGTCAGGAACTTAAATTTTCATTTCAACAATTTTAATATCATTCTCACAACGTAGTCCTCCAAAATGATATATTGCTTTTTGTACATCAGCTCATAAGTTTACATGACTTTTGCATATACCCATGCTTATCAAATTTTTTTTTTTCCTTAGTTTGTCAAACAGACAAAACAAACGGAATAATATTGATACTCGATATCTAGTAAGTTAAACTTATGTTAATGAAACCAGTTAAAAGTTTCAAATTGCTCACTTTCTTTCATTCATTTTACATGTTCAAAATTGATGCAAGTATAATTCAGATGCAAATTTAATTACTTTATATTATGATTTGAAAACCTGTAATGAAATGTACTTTGATGCTATTAACAAGAACTGTACAATGACATTGCATCCCTATAACGCGATGAGGTTACAATAAAGTTGTTCATGTGAATAAAAACGCTGAGTTTAAAGTCGATGTAGTTTTAATTTTTCTGTGAAACTACATAAATAGGTATCTTTTAGTTTGATAGCTGCTGCCTTTACAGTGTATTCCAATGTGTCTTCTGTTCTCCAGTGTCCGTTTTCTTGGTTTTTAATTTCATATCAAAATTCTCAATACCAGAATATTTATGCAATCCGTAATTGCATAACTGCAAATTACATATATATCCCATATCCTAAAATCCCCATTACCATATAAGGCCTTATCATAACTATGTATCTGTTTCAATTCTCTTAAAATATAAGAGTCATGAAGTAGGAGTAGGAGGTTTAGTAATATTAAAATGGAAAACAATAGTGTTTTTTTTTTATCGCGATATCATTTTAAAATACCGTTTTTAAGCATAATGCGGAATGGTTTAGGAGTTATACAGACATATTTCTATGTTCTTTGATGTTCCATATTCCGTACAGCGATGTCAGAAGAATCATTTTAAACATTATTACGAAATATCTTTTGATTCTTTATCGCCGGAATGGAAACCTTGATACAATAGTTAAAGTTTTACCGACAGAAAAACTTGCAAAACCATCGAAATGTTTCTGTTTACAATTCTCCAAAAGAACTAAAAAGTGTTTACAAAAAACAAAATATAAATGTGTTATATATTTACTCTTTCACGGGTGACCCAGAATGTATGCGTTATATTTGCAACCTTCCATCACGCCCGACAGTCTGACATTTCCACATGCAGGCAGCTTTCAACATGTTGTTACGTTTGCTATAATTCAATAATAATTAGTATTCCAAATCACCATCTCTTGTTTGTCAAATCAGGGGAGGTTATACTAGCATATTGGAAGGTTGTTATTTTTTAAATTTCATTCGTTGATAAACACTTCATAAAATCAAGCAAAACATGTCGAATGACTTAATTGTACGGTTCGATAGCGATAATTGTGGAGAAGAATTGAAGAGATTTCGTCAAGATCAGATTACGGGACGATCATGATAACACGTAGGCATCGCTTTAAACTAATGGGTTGATTCTAAGGATGAAATGTTTCTCTCGCTACACCCCTCGAGGATAAAATGCTGTTCAGTATACGTAAACTTCCTTTATCACCGATTATGATATTGCGATATGATTGGTATAGGTCATACATGTACGTACCGCATAGAAGGTAGGGGGACGTATTTCGTTAATTACATATTTTCATTCAGGTTTTAATATAGGGTTATATAGAACAAGGATCTTCACTTTCGATGTGCTTGTCCAATAATTGCTTAGAATCTTTAAGACAGGCTGCAAAAATATAGTTGGTGATTTGGTAGGGAAACCAGAAACGTTTTAAATATTTTAAGATTTTCTTTAATAACTTGCTTCTATCAAAGTACAAGACGGGTGNGATAATGGGACCTTAACCACTAATATTGCCCTAAAATAAAACTTTTACTACTTTCCTACAAAAATACTTTGGCTAACTACTGTACGTTCTCATCTGCCAACTTCTACATCCAAATGGAAATTAATTGGAGAACAAAGAAGACATCCGATACCTTATCCAGCCTGCACTCTTCATTTTGTATGAAATTATAAATCGTTTCCTATCAGAAAATCATGGAGTCCGTTTATATATCAGGTAAAATTCACTAAAGTGGTATATCTATATTGGCAAAATTCGTTAAATTCCAGAATGAGGTAAAAGAGATACTCTGTCGATGACTTTTTTATAAATAAAAGTAAAGATTTATCCACCTTTTTGAAGGGGAATATATGCAACAGCGGGACGTCGAAATTCAGCTTAGGTATCATCTGGTCTCAACTTCTTTTGGTTAAAAGTCTAAGACACGAGCTTGCAAGACTTTCATATGAGCTACGACTAATATCTGTATACGCCTGCAAGATGTCGAAGTGGAAACCATTTACACCGATTCTTGGTTTTTGGACATGACATCATTTGAATGTGACCTTGATTTACATGATTTATCAATTGATACATGTCGACGATGAAGCCGAGGTCTCTTATCCTTTTGTACTGATCTTACCATCCATGTAATTATTTCTTCTGGTCATATTTTGTTCCAGTTCTATAGTTTTTGAGTTCGCATCACGGTTTTGTTATCACTTCTGAATGTTTTTGTCTTTTTGTTTTTAAATCATGAACATTGTAATACGACATCGCACTTGGTCACACTGGTCTGACGAAAAGCTAACCAGATATGCCTTTGATACATCCTGAAAGAAACTAGTAAATCATGGAGAAAAGACCAGATAATGAGTTTACATGCTTTAATTCAATAATATCACCGTTCATTCACATAAAAGTATCCAAAACAACAGTATATCATAAGTTAAAATCACCTTTTCATTTTAATAACTGTAGTTTCCATCATTTAGATTATTTTCATGTGTATAGCCATTTCCTCCAGTAGCGACATTTTTTGAAAACTATTAAACCAAAAAATTAAGCCTATCTGAAAGAGACACAGTGAGGGAACAAAAAGTCCAAAGTATCAGAAAACTAATGTGGAAAGTCTGTCTGAACATTAAATAACTTGCAATTAGAAAAGACACCCTGACAACGGGGTTACTGGGTGTAACTTACTCGAGTAGTGTTGTTTCCCTAAACACCCGTGATATAATAGGCAGTAACTTTATGTAATTTCTTTTTCGATGAAAATTGTTTTAGGAATACAATCGATAATCAAAAGAAATATTTAAGATCAATCGACTCGCAATAAGTGCAGGAACATATTCCAGAAGCGGTATTGTAACTGGTGTAAAGATAGATAAGATGCTCTGACTGTTGTGCTGGCTGTTATCTACGGAGAGAGTGTGCCTACCGTACTTTCTGCTAGACTGGGGCTACTATAAATTAAATCAGACAAGGTGAACCAGTTCCTCTATAGACTTAACAAGATTCGAAATGAAGATTTGAATCCTCCGATTATATTTATAGAGAGTAAATCTAAATAACTAACTGATATATTATGTTTCTTCATAGTCGTAAAAATACTACCATTTTCCGTACAATATAAGGGACGCAAATCTTGTATGTCAACTTTTACTGTGTTCGTAAGTGTTACGTCCC